GTTGTAACTAGGAACGTGTGCAGTGTTTAGACTCTCAGTGCTGTGTGTGCGCGTGTCACAAAATACCTTTCCGTTTGGATTTTTCTGGGGAGCGGTGCGCAGTCTTGGGGTCACCCCTCGAAGACAGTCCTTGTAGGTGAGGGGGCGCCTTCTAGACGTACATGCTGTACAAGATATAGGCATTTTTATGTTGTGGCCAACAAGATTGGATCCTTGCCACTGGGCGGGATTTGGGGCGAGTGGCGGATTAAAATTCTCAAATTGAGGTCGAAATGAGAACTGTGCCCGATTGAAACCTTTTAAAATAGTATTATAGTACCCCGAGTCCCGACAGGGTCTCAACGGTCTCAAACACCATAGGAATAGGCACGGAAGGGGGGTCTCAAAGTGGGTCTCAAGATGGTAGGCTATGGGAGAGCGGGTCTCAAAACGCAATAGAAATCAACGAGAAAGAGGCCTCAAAAGTGGGTCTCAAGATCGGGAGAGCGGGTCTCAAACGCAATAGAAATGAGTGAGGAAGAGGGTCTCAAACTTGGTCTCAAACTATGAGAGAGCGGGACGAGTCTCTGAGGACGTGTGTTTACCATGTCGTCAGCAAGTTTGCAGGATTTCATTAATACATATATATATATATATATGAACTATGTGGCCGCCAAATTGGCGAAGTTGTTGTGTTTCCAGAGCCTCCTCTGTGGGCCTCCATTGTAGTAGCCACTGTAGATTTGAGCGCTGCCTGCGGCAGCAAGGAGCTGTGGATGGCTTGGTTGAGCTTAGTGGCCCATGCTTTGATCTTGCATAACAAAAATTTGATCCATCGTGTCAATCGTATTGTGGTGAGGCAAGATTGAAGACTTGGTTGCTTCCTACCAGGTAAGTCCAATTCCAGCCGCGGGTCGGTTAGTTTTGTGTAGGAAAGGGGCAGGTTTGCGTGTCGATGGAAGTGAGCGTGCTTAGACACAGATTGTTCGAAGCAGACTGCGTGAGTTTCACGGTGTCTGTTGTTTGATGAGGTTGGAAGCCTACCTTGGGTTCCTGGTGCTCTGTGCCCAGGAAGGCCCCTGCGCCGGCCATGCATTTTGGAAGTGAGATTTTTCTGCTTATTGCATCTTGCGTCACTGCAGCTGATCAGTGATTGTTGTGTGTAGCCATGTGGGGGAACCTTTTGCCCGATCATTTTGTCTGCAACTTAGAAAGAAAGGGGGGCGTGCAGTGTAGACACCTGCTGTGACAAACCTGTAAGTAAGGCCATGGCTCCTAAAAGACGCCGTACGACGTCGAACGAGACTAAGAAGGCGATGGATGTAGGGCAGAAAGGTGTAAAACGAAGGCTCACTTTTAGGGATCGAAAAAACACGAGTTTTGTGGTTTCGACCTGCGGGGCCTCCCTTGTATAGTTGGTACTTACAACGTCGGTGTCGTTAGGGAATAGAAATATAAAATAATCCCTATTAAGAATAAGGGCCGCATATTCTTATAAGGGGTTCTTTGTGGATGTGAAAACATTCGTTAGCTATCATATAGTAAAATCGAAGGTTTCGATATTTAGCTCGGGAATAAATATATATATGAAATGAATATCTGGGATTTAAGTCCCTTCTTCTATTTTTGAGCTAGTTATGGATTTGTTCCCCGTCCGATCCGCCCCATATTCTTTTCGGGTTAGAATTTTGTTTAAAAAGGTTCATTATAGACGTATTAATTTTCTTTTTTCTTGTTATTTATTATTTGGTATAATTCTTTATTTCTTTAATATGAAAAGAAATATAGTTAATATAACTAATGTTTATAGCGTCGGTATCGTTAATTAGGAATTACGAAAGAGGAATATAAAATAATTCGTGTTAAAATTTTATATTTTTAAATTTAGTTGCATTATTTAATCATAATTAATTATATAAAAAATATATTTATCGAATTAAATATAGAATGTTGATTGTCGTGTAAATTTTGGGGGAAGGGGTTTATATTTTTAATTTATAAATATAAACAATAAAAAATGATGGAGTTAATTCCTAGTGGTATTTTAATTTGAAGTTTGATTTTTATAGTATTTATATAAAATTATTTTATTTGATGTTGATTTTTTTTTATGTAATTGATTATAAATTGGTGGTATTGAATGTTTGATAATTTTTTCTTTTTTAATTGTTAAAATATGTTTGTTTGATATTTTAAAAAATACCTATATGTTGATGTTTGAAGATTTTGGTCTTTAATATTTTGTTTTTTTGATTTATTATTTCCTTGGTATTGAAATTGAAATGGAAATGTATTTACGACACTATATACATATAATTTCTTTATAAAATTTAAGAAATAGGGAACATAAAATAAAATATATATAAATACATCTCCCCTATATATATGGATGAATTTAAAGGTATTTGAGGCAATTATAATCCATCGCGATTTTAACGGTATTAATCGCGGAAGAATATTTTCGTTTGAAACACTATTTTATGTTAAAAATCATCAAAATATTGTTATATATTATAGTATTTAGAAACATGGCATAAGTTAGGGCTTACATATGCGGGTTTAATAATCGCGGAATTCGTCGATATATTTTTAAGAATTAAATTAATCTGGCCTGATACTATATTGTTAAGAATTGAATTAATCTGGCCTAATACTATATTAAACATTATTATTAAACACAATATTTACCGAATATAATTTGAAATTAAAATTTAATATAACTAATATTCTATATAATATTAATTTCTCCTTCTATAATGGTCGATTCTAATACGATAAATATGTATATTCATCGAGAATCAACTACGATATAAGATTTTACAATCGCAAATGCTAAAATACACATGCCCTTTCATAATTCTTAAATTTGCATTTATAATCGGTTCCCATATAATTCCATTCATTAAAATTAACGATAAAATATAATCCCTCAAATTATTCTTTTATAAAATAAAAATATCCAATCCTTTTATATCATGGCCAAACACCATACAAAAAAAAATATTATATGTTTTTTCTTCATAAAACAAAATTTCAATAAATCGATAATTATTTCTATTCGAAAATAATATATATTTTGTAGAATATTAAATTAATAATTTAATATAATTGTGTCCATTATATATATTATAAATTTAATACCATAAAAATATTATATTAAAAATCATCTAATTATAAATTCCATATAAATTTATTAAAAATATTTCAAAAAACACAAAAACAATTTTAATATCAAAATAAAAAATAATTAATAAATAATAACAACCGAATCTCATTTTCCCTACCAAAAAACAATATATAATTTAAATATAAAAAATAACAAACAATATTCAAATATTAAATACCATACAAATTCATATCATAATAAATATATTTTTATTTTTAAAATTACTATATTTAACATATTTTAACTAATCAATTAAATAAATATTTTTTTGGTTTTTCAAATAAAATTCATAAAAATTAATTCTACACAAAATTTACCTATAAAAATATCATTATATGAATATACCATAAATAATTCATTATAATATAATAAATCCACACAAACCCAAATATATATATAAAATACTAAATCTAAAATTATTATTATAAAATAACCAACCACAACGCAAAAAAAGACCAAAAACGCGGAAATTAGATCGTCTCATTTATAAATCTCACCCTACCCATCGTATTTGTGCACACCCTCCCCAAAGAAAAAAAACAAACCATAAATCCATTTTATAAATATTTTCACCTCCAAAAATCCATCGTATTTATCCCCGCCCTCCCAAGAAATAGATGGCAAACCATTTTATAAATACTTTTTCCTGCCAAGGCCCATCGTATTTATCCATACCCTCCAGCTCTTCGGCAGAGGGAATGGTTTATAAAATAGTTTTCCCCTGCCAAGGATTATTAAATCCATTGCCAAACATGTCAAAACCCATGTTATACACCTTTAACCATAAAATGGTTCTATTCTCTCACACCATTACTTGTTTATAGAATGAGCAACCAACATCCAGTTATCTCTATGTTAAAAAACATATCACTGTTTATAAAATGTACACAGGAGCCAAACCGACCTTTTTATGAAATTACGAGACAAGATGCATAGGCGTTTTTTTTTTTAACTTCCGATTTCCGGAAACATTGTGCTTTTTATATGTCATTTTATAGGTCACCAGGATCCCCATTTCATAAGGACCTGTGCAAGGGGGATGGATTAGGAAGTAAGCCACAACCAAATAAGGATCATTTCAGGCTCTACCTCCATTTGCTAACATTCCGGGTGTTCCGCAACTCGGAACGCTCTCATCATTTCTTGTAACTGTTAAGAAGCTTTTTGTTGAGTGCCGTGAAACCATCGATTGCAGAAGGGACCATGGCTCATATTGATCCTGCCTGTCCTTCCACAACCCTCAGTTAAAATTCTGGCAGAAAACATGTTCGCCACGATTTGGGGCAAACATTCGAAAACAAAATTGCCAAACCTGCTGCTGAATTACGCCTTTGTTGCGCATGGTCGATTTCTGGGACAGGTCTACAAACCATCACACACAGACATTCCATGTATGGTATATTTACATACATTGGGGTGGTTTCCGGGCCAGGTACAATGACTATTGCATACATGGAGTGTCTGGGTCACTGTTCACACTTCACTTGCATAGTCGGATAGCCTTACCGCGCAATGTAAGCTCAGTTGGTATGGCTAACTTGGCTGCCAATCTATCTCCCGGCAAACACAAAACAGGCATGCCCAACCCAACCCAACGACCCATGAAGTTCTCCTTGAGATAGTATCTCCATGCACAGTCTGCCCCACCCTCCAAAAACCCTCTAAAACCCCACAATGAATGGTGTTGGTCAAAGGAGCTTCACTGTGCGTAGTACAAGGCAGGAGGGTGTCCTCATTGTTCATATCATTCATTCAACAAACCAACTAAATATCTCAATACACTCTCTTAAAAACTATATAAGGGGTTTGCACCCTAAACAAAAAACAAATGGATCAAAGATTGGGGCTGGGAAGCCTATGCCGGGAGGGCGCTCCTGAAACTACTTCTGTCGCTGACGATCAGGATGTTGCCCACCTGAGAGATGGGACCGTCGATGGCTTCCCCAGTGGAAGTGATGGGAGAAAGTGATGAACAAAGATCCTGCCAAATGGGACAAAGTCCCCAAGAGGAGGGGAGAGCACATATTATGTGTTATACACATATGAATCAAAGCCTCAAAGCTGCCGAACAGCGCAAGATCAGCATGTCCTAAGACTAAAGACCAAGCACACAAGCTTTTACCACAAGAGGCGGCACATGGTGGCATCAAGATTATGTAGACTCATGATTAGTAAAACACCCTCATTGGGACTGAAACACCTCGTCATATGGAGGCTATTGGTGTTATTGATGAGCAGTCTACATTACCTGCACAGCTGCAAGTTTTCGATCTTCAGAATCTCCTCTAGACTCTAGATTCACCACTCCTTCTCGTATCTACGAGTACATCTGGGTGTTGCCTATGTCTGTTGTGATTCTTGCTCCTGATATCGGATGCTATACTTCCAGGTCCCGGTGCCCTGATGTCACGAAGCTGGAGTCAAAGAAGCTCGAAAGCTCCAAACTTCAAACCTTGAGTTTATATTTATATATATATATACTAATATACCCTCCCTCCAACATTCATGGAATGGAAGCGGAAAAAGATGAAAATGACCTGTTCCTGGAGGAAAACTGTCTTCCAAGAAACCATGTTCCTTCCTCCTACCAAGAAACATCAAGAAACTGTCCTCCAACATGTTCCATGATGTTCCATGCTATCATGTTTGTTGGATGGAGGGTCAATTACCCTCGTGCTCGTCACAAAACTCATCACCTTCCGAGATCTGCAGAGTGGAAGATCTTCATCCTCACCCCCACAAAAGATGTCAGGCAACATCACCTGTCTAATGCCCCAAACGTCGAGAAAACACGTCGGCCTCACTTCCCGGTGGCTTTGTCTGAATTGTAGGGTCCATTTGGGAGGATCATCACACCAAAGAAGGACTGGACACGGAGAAGCTGGCTGGCTTTGGGAAAAGAAGTAGACAAGAACCAGCCCCATGCTCGAACCCCCAGATCTCCACGGCCCACCCCATCGTTGATGCGCACGTCACTGCCCACCTCAGCGGCGTGGCGTCTGCCCGTGTCTGCCATCTGAAAGAGGGGACGTATCATAGTCAATCTGGACCAACTCGGAGGAATTTCCAGATGTCATCATGATTTCATCCTGTTTCATGCCGTTTCACACCTTCCAATTGCAATATTGACATGTTCCACATTCCAGCTCTGGTTGACTTCTTGGACGAAGCTGCTTGTCCTTCCCATGCCACAATGCCCATGGGAATCTGCTAACCTCCTTCGCTCAGGTGTTCTGGACTCGGAACCCCAAAAACTCCGAAGTGGCTTCAAAGAGAACAAACCACCACAGCCTCTAGATGGCTGGTCACCTGAAAGCCCTGATGGAATTTTCGGGTTCCCCGCAACCAACGTCCCAGTGCCCGGTCGAACACATGAGGCATCACGTCCCGGTGCCAGTGTCATTGTTTGTTGCTTACATGAAATCAATCGTGTTAAATCCAAGGCAAAAGTAAATGCTTCGCCGTCGCAAACTGTAAGTTACAGTATGTTCTATGAAACCCGCGAACCGCCTTTGGACGGCTTTGGGGCCCAAACGGCTCCAATCTATTCAAAAGGACGCCGCACGACGACGCAGATTCTTGATCGACCTGCGTCCATAATTTGGTCACGGGTATGTTACTATATGTTACAATGTTCACCTGAAACATATGAACAATGTGTTTCATGACCATATGCTATGGCGACATCATTCAGTCCATCTTTGTTTTGGGATCCCAACTCCGGCTCTCCCCGCCGCGACCCGGGACCCGCCGCGACCGGCGTCCCGGACCATCTCCACGGAGGGGTCCGCCCTGGTGCCCTTCTTCGGCGCGTCGTCGGGTGACTTCTGGCGCCGCGGTGGCGTGGCGGACGGTCGTGGCGAGCCCCGTTGGTAGCGTTCGTGTTCCTATAGTAGGGTGGTACGGTAGATATGGGTAGATGGTGGATAAGTTCTCCACCACTCAATTTTGGGATATGGCCAGTTTGGGTATATCCGATCATATCCCAGTTGGTGAGTTGCCCAATGTTGCCCATGCCGGAGTCTGTCCATGTTTGCCTCAGAAAACCACAAAGCTCCGCATGGTTGGGGCGGTCGTCAAGTCTTTTCACTAAGGTCAAGCGTGTTTTTTGTTGCCCATCGTTCTAAGGGGTGCCGGTGGGCCAAGAAAAGTAGTGTCTTGGCATGTCATGTCATCATGTCATGGCCAAGTCCGTTGGTCCTTAAATTCCCTCCGGCAGTCCCTCGACTGGACAAAGCATGAGGCACCCCAGCAAGCAACAGCTGCTCTCTTTCCTCTTCATCTTTCTTTTTTTGCTCCTGCAAACGAAGCATTGGAAGGAAAAGCCCTTCACAAGTACCAGTGAGAACTAGGCTCTGCACGCAAGTCTTGTGGGAGTCCAACAAATATCACCAGAGTCAGACTTCCTGTACGAATCTCCACCTGCTGCTGATTCCATTCAGGAAAGAAATCGCTCCATGCAGAAAAAGCACACGCCAACAAAGAAACTCAACCACAACATGAACATAAACGCGCAGTAATTCAACAGCAACAGCAAGGCTGGAGTGCTTGGTAGCCATTTCTACTTGTGCTTTGCCTTTGCCAGTCTCCAACACTTTGAACACCAGGGTTGCCCCTCCTCCTTGGCCAGTACGATTGCCTTCTCTGCGGATGTAGCCACCTCAGCCGAGGAGATGCCCAGGGTCCACTGGGTCTCCCTATGTTGCAATCCTGTCGTCCAATAGAATGGCTCGGAGAAAAACAAAAATGATGCCTTTATCATCCTTTATCTAGATTCCTCTCAAAAAATGAGAACGCTTTTGAACTTCCATGGTCTGAAATGGGTATATTCCATGGGTATGCCCATGCCGGTCCAGCTGTTCTGGAAAAAAACCTTTTCGGTGGCAGGTGGCTCCGCACCTTCTCCGGCCATGCCGTTGAAGTCACTTGCAGGTTACCCCGTTGGGCCTAGGTTTGATCTGTTAGCAGGGTGGAGGACCAGGACATGCCAAAATGCCCATTAAACGCGGGATGAGCCTATCCTGTTGAGGACGCAGCCCAGGCGAACCCTAAACCATCCTAAAGCCTTAAACCCTATGAGGAGGGCACCTCGAAGTGGACACCTCCAAGTGAGCACTCCTTGAGTTGCATTCCTCAAAGTCACTTCCTTCCCACTCCTCTCACCATCCTACCCATCCCGCCTCCTGAGCATTGGGTGTAAGCATCAAGAGGCTCACGAACTCGTCGCGATCCCGCTGCTGGGCGTGCAGGGGCATGGCAAAGCTTGTCACAGAAACGTGAATTAAGGGAACATCTATACAGGAAACAATGGTTCTCAACCCCCCCAAAAGGACGGGCTTCAGACGCAGATTTTCCCTTAAACCAATTCATTGAAGAACACCTCGTCACAGAGTTCTCTTCTCGGGTCGGGCTTCTGGGAGGCTATGGGTATGGCTTCTAGGTGCGCGACAGTTGTGCCCGCTCGACGCTCACTGGCTGGGTCGAGCAGCTACCCCAAACTTGGAACTGCTGCTAAAACGATGTAGATTCACTTCAACATCTTGAGAGCTAAGGGGTGTCTATTGACCAAACTTCATTGGGTGATGGGATGTGAACTGTGAGCATCAAACCTGAAGGAAAATATCTCAGTCACTGAACCTGATTCAGGTGAAACTGCATGAAACCATATCACCTCAATGTTCTGCGAATGTTCTCAAATAAAAAACCAACAAGCTGCTTCTCCCCGCAGTTTGTGCAATTTGTGTGCTCCATGCTCCGTGCCTTGATGCGGTAATCGGGCACGGGGCACAGCAGCAGCTTGGGACCGCCGGACTGAGCGCTACGTCGCAGCGTCGGCCCCGACCGGGAGCGAGAAGCGTCATGTAGACTGTTGATGTGAACAGTGAAAGTCATGGTATAAAAGCAAGGCGTAGAGATGAAATAGAACTGTTGTGAATATAAAGCAAGGCATATAGAGATGTGAAAGAAGAACTCTTCACCATCGGGCAGGGTTGATCCTGTCTACATTACATCTACACATACCTTGATGGACCTTGATGGTGCATGAAAGTGGGCCACGCCTCGAGGAACACTCCTATACGGTCTATACTGGGGGGCGGTCAGACCGGTCTGCAAAACACACCCCTACTGGGGTCCATGGTCTTGTTCATCCATGGCATGGTCTATTGCTCACAGGGTGTTGATTTTTCTTGTACTGCAAGAGTGCGCCTCCCAATCCAAGCTCAATGGATTGGGACGTCGAAGAGATGAAGGGCAAGTTCGGCGATTCATACCTACGTGGTGATCCCCACTAGTGCAGCAAATGAAGAACAATATATGAATACTATATTAAGTTATTATTGTTCCTTTTGATATATTTGTTGATGACTTCCCTGCATGATTATAATACTTCCCGACGAGCCTTTCAACTACCAAAGATGGGGGGCCAAACATGGCCAAATCACCACGATTCCCATGACCCATCCCTAATCCAAAGCCCAGCACCAGTTTGGTTGACCAACACACTCGTCCAACGGCTCTGCACATTTCGATAGCGCGCGCGTAGAGTGCCTGGCTCTTGAGGAGAATGGAGTAGGGAATTTTGAGCTCCTCATCAACTTCATATTTGGTCTCCTGCCAGGCTCTGTCAGTGGATCAACCAGCACCTTTCCTGACTGGAGATCAACGGCTGGAGGTTGAGGGTTCACTGGTACTGATCTCAGTGATGTTTCGGACCAGTGAACCCTCCTGTGAATACCTGAAATCAAGAGCTCTCTCCCGGAATCTCTATAGTCTATAGTGGCCATCATGAAGCATATATGAATCCATGCAGACTCGTTCAGATTCTTTCCTTTGCATCCATGGTTCTTTCACCTCTGAACTTCTATGTGTTTCTTTCACTCAAATTTCTACCTTTCCACGTCACTCACCCACCCACCGCGGGTGTCTCGGTCGCCTGCAGGGAACCAATCCGCTGGTAGAATTTTTTCGTCGCTTCGAAGGCGGGAACCTTCGCAATAAAGCATAAAACACAGGGCTGTTATTGTTTCGGTGTATTGTCGCAATGAAACACTTATTTTAAATCAAATACATTATATATATATAATCAGAAAAAGGTACAACATAATATGATTTATTCAGATTCAATTGACAGTCATAATATATAATATCATCACTACCGATTTCCTGGGATTCCCGCTCGATTCACCTGTGGTGGTGGAAGCACGTGCATTTCTTTTTCTGCTGATCCAAAAAGCTTGGGTGCCATGATTCGGCGGCCTATGTTTGTTTTCAATACCAACCAACACCTTTGTGATGGGGCGCAAAGACAAAAAAACATGAAGAACCAAAGAATGCTCGGCTCATCTTCGACTGTTGGATACACTACTGTCGATCATGGTTGATGGTGGCGGGTGATGGTGGCGAGGAAGAGCTCCAAGTCTTCATTGATGCTGATGAACAATTCTTCCATAGACCTCAAATGACCTCAAGCATCCCATGACATCCCCAGCACCTCAATGTTGAGGGACACAATTTCCACGCTTGGCCTCAGAGGACAAGGCCGAATCGAGTGTTTCTTTTTTAGATGTGCATGGCACATCATCAGCTGTTCTACTTTGGAGGTCTTTGAAGGAATCCTTGAGCCAAGACCTCTTTCATCCTACTTCCGAAACAGCATATGCCGCATGCAAAACAAGGTACTGAGTATTTGTTGCATTGTGTTGCAACAATGCCATCAAGCGTGCAACTGACATGTGCTTTGCGATTCTTTTCCTAACCACAACAGCGTCACCGAGGCACTGTCTTCGTTTCCTCTGAAGTCCCCGGCGGACCCTCACGCGGCACCATACGCACTTGAACGCCACGAGGGGACTGCAGGCCGTGCAGCAGGAGAATCGGATGTTTGATCGTTCTAGATGCTTTGCTTCGTCGCAAAGCCTTGTCTGGCGCTTTCAACCCACCTTTGCACCCACTGAAAACTGTAGTGTGTGTATACACATATAAATCATATACTTCGAAGCCATGAACCAAATCAAGCCAGTAGTTCTACTCATCAACGGTCTCCAAACAAACCCAACCACACCGGAGCCTCGCAGTCCAGGTATCTCGCATCGCCAAGCAGCGAAGTGCCTCACGGGAGGCACAAAGCAGCGGTCGGAGGTGGAGGCCATCGCTCTTAGGTTGTGGAAGCTATTGGGTCTCATCAGGCCATCGCTACTAGGGTGGAGTGTTGTTGGTTCCTACACAAACAGCAAAGTACAGAACTGCCTGGGCCAAGAACCGGCCAAGAATCGTCCATATCCATAACTCTGTGTTCCACGGAACATGGGGGAACGTGGGTCCGTGGCGGGGGGTTCTCCATGTTCGTTCCGCCAAACAAAGACACGGTGGCAGCTTCTGCACTGGAGGGACTTGATGAGTCTCACGGCTCCCCCCATCCCATAGAAACCGCTTCCCCAAAACCGTGGTCTTTAGTTCGTGTGCTCGAACTCTGACAATCTGTTGCTACGATCTAGCAATCTTTCACAAGCTGTGGCGGAGCAAGTGCAGTTCTTTTGGGAGTAAGCATGCAATAGTTTGATTGCATTGATGCAGAGATACCCAGAGTAACTAAGACCGCTGTTGTGTTTCTTTTTTCCAGGTGTTGCTAGCGAAGCTGAATGAAAATATGGCATTCTCCGATTGGACAAAGTTGGTGATTTGAAGTACACCAACAAATGACAAAGAGCTGAACCAACGGGACCTGAGCTTCCAATCTAAAACTTCCGTACCTAATCACAGTGAGGATGCTTCGGTGGTGCGAGCATAGCTAGGGTTTGGGGCATAGGGTCTTAGCAACTAATGCTCCAATCGATACCAAAACTGATTCTAAAAAGTTGCTAATTTATAGGCTGGTGACCAGAAAGAACTTCTGTTACCTATGCCACCTCCATTTCCAGGGCTTCTAGTAGCACAGCCGGGTACTCTCAACGGGCCTCCAGAGTCCTCCACACGTGCGTACATGTCGAAGATCTGGGCCGAGCGAGCGTTGCGGCTCAATGCTGTTCATGCTGTATAGAATCTGGAACGCATGTGGTTCCTTTTGGTCTCAATTTGCTTTTGAGGCAGTTCTGCAACTGACTTTAATTCAGTTCTTGACTTGGTCTTTTAATTTCAGGTCTTGCTCGTTCATGATGGGGGCATTGGAGTATTCATGGAAGAACCAACACAAGCTCAAGTTTGATTCTATTGGATTTCCCGGCTCACTGCCACCCCATCTCCGCTTCCCATGGACATGGCCGTGCGATGAAGTTCTCCCGTTCTCTTCGCCTGGTCGTTAGTAGCTTACTTGTAGCTTCTTGCTCCTAGTAGTAATGCCCTTGTTACTAGTAGCTTCTTGTTACTAGTAGCGATGCCAGGAGCCCCTAGTAGCGTCCTTGCCCCTAGTAGTATGGCCAGGAGCCCCTAGTAGCTTCTTGTTACCAGTAGCGATGGCCTCCAACCTACTAGCGATTGCCTCCACCGTGCGTAGCTTCGCCTGGTCGGGCTGGGTGATCTGTGTGAAGTTCAAGGCGTTCACCGTGGGCTGCATCACCTGAACAGTCAGAGCGTGCTCGGGCGTTCGAGTTCTCGCTTGGAGCGTTTTCTCTCCGCGGATTCCCAAGCGTTGGCTTTCTAAAGCCCTAGATCCCTGCTCCTGGATTCCCAAGGTCATGTTAGAGTTACAATGACAAAGAACTAGTTCAAGAACCCTACCTTGTTGTTTTGGTCCCTTTGGTTTGCTCTTTTGCTGCGTATCTGCGTGAAAGTGATCCGTACAAAAATGGACCCACCGGCAAGGCCAACAAGGGCGCTTTCAGAAAACCGCTCATAGCGGCCATATAGCGACTCTATACATTGAGCCTCCAGGCCGAGTAGTTCAGCAGGCTGGGCCTCTTCCGGGTGAGCACCGACGGATCCACCTGCACCGTGCACCGAGGCGCGCGACCGCCCCGCGAGCCGGCCGGCGCACACCGAGGCTCCGTGGGTGGCGAAACGTTGCTGGCGCACTGGGCATATTTACCTACATTGGGGGTGGTTTTGGGGGGGTCAATGTAGGCATATATGGCATACATGGAGTGTCTGGGTCTTTTGAATCCCCCCCAAAATGGTGAATCGAGGGGACCCTCTCTTTTGGACGGACAACGGCCTTGATTTCAATGGCGAAGGAGCCGTCATCCTTCCTGGGCGAAGACGTCTGCGAATGTTTGCGGTACGGGGTCATCGGCTCTCCATCAACAAAAATGGAGATCTCTCGAGAAGGTCATGCAACCATTGCGAAGGACGAAGGAATACCCGCATAATGATCATATGTGGGAGGCTTGACTTGCAAATATGCCCAATACAAACAATTCATTGATGATTGATGGAGGGTCTGTACTTCAATTATCTTAAACCTCGTGCCACGTGCCATTTCGAGTGCCGCTCCTTCATGCATGTTTGCTTTTCGTGGAGCGGTGGTCTTTGGCAGGGAGCCCTCCAACTTCCTACAGTCCTACAGGATGCTTCTCCACTACCATTGCTAGCGTCATGTCTCTCATTGACAACATGTCCCGCAAACTGGGGGAATCCAGTTACTAGTAGTTAGTAGCCTTTGTTACTGGTAGCTTCTTGCTACTAGTAGTAATGCACTTGTTACTAGTAGCGATGCCCTTGCTACCATTGTTACTTGTAGCTTCTTGTTACTAGTAGTAATGCACTTCTTTCTATAGTAGTAATGCACTTGATACTTGCAGCGATACACTTGTTACTACAAAAGGGAAGGGGGAGCGTACTAAAAAGAAAACAACAAAGATCGAACAAATAAATTGCTCCTGATTTCTAGCTTCTTGTTGCTGGTAGTAGTGCACTTGTTACTAGTAGGGAGGGGGGGAGCGAGCAAACACAATTAAAACAAAAGTAGCAATGCACTTGTTGCTAGTAGCTTCTTGTCCGCAAACACCCCCGGATCACCACAATGAACCCCTTTTCGTTTCTTCAGCCGAAGCGTCTCTGGCCCATAACCCACCGTCACGGAGCGTGCACCATCGGCGCCTGTTCAGGAGTCCACTGAAGCGGATCTTCTCAACAATCGACGCTGTTCAAGATGTTCACACTGATGTTCACATGCTCGCTGCTATCCTTGGGTCTTCTGGCACAGCTTTTCTTCCGATCTCGCTACCCTTTTTCGACCCAACTATGGCACACTATGGCACAACACTAGCTTGCTGGTAGAACATGCAAAAGTCGGCCGGGCACGTCCATGAACTCCAACATCGGTAGACTGTAGATCCATAAGAATTAACAAAAAGCCAGCACCCTAAATGCAATTCGTACAACCAACAATGAACCGAAGACATCCAAAGTCAAACAAACTCTAACCACACACCTGGGAACCCTCCACCCAGTGATGCCTGCACCGTCACTGAGGACCTGCAAAAGCCAGGCAGAAATGAACATTGATTTGATGGGCAGCGTGGACAAAGAAACACTTGGAGGGAAGGGATCTCTCCAAAACATTCCAAAACCATCCAAGTTCCATTCATCACGGAAGGAATGTTTCTTGGATTTTGGTGAGGGATTTTGAGGCAACGTTTTTTGAAACAATCTCCAAAATCCAACGTCCGTAGTGGGTATTGATGGACATCTTGAGATGCAAAAGGTTCATGCACGCTTAACTTGAGCGAACAGTAAAGGATAAACAAACCATCTCTGTCCACGTGGAAAACCCGGAACCTTACAAGAAGACCAAACCCAAGAATTAACCAGCGTGATAGTGATATGTTCTAAGCACAGGCGAAGGGGCTCCTTGCCTTTCCTCTTGGGCTAATTAGACTGAGCTAGGGACTTCTCTGGCCAGGAGGGGTTCTTTGATCTAGGACGTCACAAAGACTTCAGCTCAACGCTGCGGCCCAGGGCCTTCATCTGACATGCCTTGGTCCAAAACTTCAGCTCCTTCTCCATGCCCTCGTTGTTTCCCACCTGGAAATAAGCGGCTCCAAAGCGACTTCTGGTCTTCCCCCAAAGTGTTCCCCCCATGAAGTTCTCGAAATGGACCTGTCTTGGCATCTCCTGTTTGGATCGGCAAAGGTTTGAGGCCCAGGAACCAGGTGTTCCGCTTCGCAGGTTCGTCCCTTTGGCCATCCTTCGTGCCGGGCACGGCGGCACGCTCAGTCTTTCCATCATTCACCAATCAAGGGGTTGGCTACACCATGAACATCAACGGTGTTACACCCATTTTCACGGCCCATGATGTCTCTCACACATGTTCCAAACTCTATGTGCCAGCATTCCAGCGAAGATGTCTCTGAAGTCTGGGCGAGAAAACCCCCAAGCCGTGAAAACCATCGTGGTTCACCAACTCCAACAGAAAAGCACATCTCTCAAGTGTCTCACACCTCTTCTTGAAAAAATCGCTCGGAAAAAAAGGATTACCTCCAGGGTCTTCAGACTTTGTTTGGCCATCATCGTTCTCTTCTGCCAGCTGGATCAAGGCGCTGACATCGACGACCACCCTTTGCAAGCCCACTTGAGCAGCCTGGCCAGCCAAGAAGTCTGCTCACCGGCAGTGGGGTTCTCGGGTCATCCGTCACTTTCCTGTGAAGAGGTTCCGTTTGAAAGGGCAGCTCAATTGGCAAGTTACAAGATGTTACAAGTAGCTGTCAAATTTTTGATCACTTGGATGATATGGAACATCGTGGAACATCCGCTGACTGATAGCCCTTCTGTGGGCATTGGTGGAAGGGCCGCTCCGATGCTCCAATACGTTGCGTTGCTCACAGGAGCCACACGCAGGTCGAACATGCGCAGCGGAAGACCCTTTTGGATCCTTTTGGTTTATGCACAAATTCCACATCATTCCCATTTTGGGCCCTCCAACAATTGCTTCATTGACCTCCAGAAAATGAGGCTGGTGCATTTCCCACACGTCTCATACCTATTCCACTGCACATCCAATCCATACCTGCCCCGGTACAATACTAGTAGGGCAGTACCCTGGTGAATCCTGGAAATCATTCTGTTCATTAGGGGCATTCTAATGGGGATGGCCTCCAACCTAATTATATAGTAGGGATGGCCTCCCACCTAAGTTCATTAAGGGCATTCTAATACTCGGGGACCAGGCACGTTGGCGCTTGACTATGTGCACCACACTCCGACTTTGGCGTCTCAGTGGGTCTCCAACTCCGCAACGGCCCGTTCTTCCCGCCTGAACGGAGGAGCTCCCCTGGAAAGCCCAAAGAACGAAGGAGAGGAGGCATTTCGGCTGCAGGTGCAGATCAATTCCACTGCAGGGGGTTGGAAAAGGAACATGTGTCTAAGAACATCACACAAATTCTGCGTCTATATAAGAACTCTTCCCCACCTACGAAGAAGTGGTCTAACATCAAGGTTTCCTGGAACCAGCCAATCGTGGCCCTTTAGATACAACATCAATACCTTCCTTTTGTAATAGAAATACTGTATATATACATATATTATAATATAGATGAATATAGATATAATATGATATAATATGAGTCTATGTGTGAACAGAACCCTGCCGGTGGCCCTTAGGACGGGCGCGTCCCCTTGTTTGTGAACCCAAATGTCGCGTTCCTGGCGGGGCACATGTGGGCTGGGCACATACTTCTTAGGTTCTATTGTGCATTTGCATGCACTTGCATGAATTTAGGGACGACTTTAAAGCTGGGGATTAGGTGATCGAGAAGCTCCCAGGGAGAAACATGTACCTGTCATTGACATGATGTTTTCTGAACCAGACTGCGTGGCATGGCCTGGGGAAACGCCGTCCAACTCGCTGCGCCTCCGCTTGCGCCGCGCTGGGCAGGCTGAGAGCCAGTAGCGAGGCGCCGCGCCTGGGGAGGAATCAGATCCTGCATTGAACTGCAGCCCAAAGCAGGACCCTTGTTGTTATTTGAGTTTTTTTTCAGAACTTTTTGTAGTATTGTTTGTCCGTCGACTGCAAAGCGGCCCCAACATCCCAGCCATCCGTTTTTTCCCTCAAACGGCGGCAGTTTCAGACCCGGTGTTGGCCACCAGGCCAAGGACTCCTTCGCAAAGGCGCGACCAGGCCTTGACAAAGCTGCATCAGCGACCTGGAAAGCATTGAATGCGGTGGCCTACCGTGTATATATGGAGAAGCCGCAGTGCATCATGGCATTTCCCGACTTTGGGAGCACGCCACAAATAATAACGCTCCACATCATTCCACACCCCAATCTCCTGTTGCGAATGAGATGCGTCAAGTGTCGTGCTTTTGAAAGCAGCTTCATCACACCAGCATGGCATCCGATTGTGCACAACCAAAACGAGTCGACATGAACACCCTGCCACAAGCCAACACCCTCGAAACAGTTCGGGCACCTCGGATTTCTGTGCTGCGGCACGGGCCACAGCGGGCCTCCGTTTTCACGACCAAGTGCGGCAAACTGAGACACCACTTTCGGACACCACCCGGACGGTTGGATGCCAAGCCCTTCGAAAGGTGGCTGATGACATCTCATGACCCTACTGTCTCTGTATGTCTCTGTAATGCCTGCACAAATCCCAATCGCTTAGCTATGACCCAGTGATTTGAAGCTATGATGTCAGGACAAGTCACAGTCTATCGAATTGGACCCATCATCCCCCTGCTGAAACTCCACCAAAGCCCTGGGCTCCAAATCCGCAGCTCGTGCTCCGACCCGTCCAGTGGACACCCGTCGCTCATTTTCGGCCACGGGCACGCAGCCACCGTCGCGCTCCTAGGCTTTCGGGAGGGTCCTCCGCGCCTGAAAGGCGTGCGTGTTGTGGGCTGGCTGGTTCACATGGACAGCACCGTGACTTCACCGTGTTTCATTTGGACACTAAACATATCTACACATTGAGGGACGTGAAACAGTTTGCTGCTTACTTCATGTGTTTAATGCAGCCCATGCAATAGAATTCAACGCACTGAGAAGGAGGCGGAGGCTTACCTGCAGTAGTTGAAACCTTCCCGATGGACATGTTTCATCATCCATGTCCAAAGAGAAAGAACAAAGGGTTTTCCAAACACACGTGAGGACGCTGGAAACAAATGACCTCAGAATGGTAAGCCCAAATCCAATGTCAATTCTTTGGGCACGTGTGACATGACCTCGCCACCAGGTGGCGAAAGCACACGATCCAACGGCCACGCACATTCCGCCAGGTGACTTTCCACTTCGGCATCAGTAGCGTTGCTGGCGTCCAATCGTCCTTCTTCCCCCGGCTGCAAGACCGGCTCCGCTTCGCATCGCGCCGCGCGCGCGGCGGCGAGGCGGTGCCGGCGGCGCGCGGGGAGCCGGGCTCGCCGCGGCTTCGGTCGCGCTTTCCTGGGTGCGGTGTTCGAAGTAGAACAGAACAGAGCACCTCAAATGACTCATGTAGAATCAATTATTGTAGCGATTCCAAGAAACAATTCGATTCTCTCTTGACTCTTGACCCACCAAACCCGATCAACACCTTGCCGTCCAAGGCCAGCTTTTGATTCTGAGAAGGGTTTGACTTTGATCACTATGTGATAAATAGGATGTGCTCGGGTGGACAAAGGACTGACCTCATCTTTACCAAACAAAAAACTGACATGGCATCGAAGGTATCGAGCAACCCAACAGCCAACACCCCACCCGCCATTCTTGCAAAAACTTAAACATCTTAAAACCATCCTTCCCCTTCAAACACAAAAGAAATATAGACATTTAATATTAATTATTTTAATACATAAATTTACAAATCAATATTGACAAAAATCCCATAATATAATGCCTATGCCTTTATATTCCTATATATCCTTTTTCTTGCGGCGACTGTAATCGTTCATCTCCAGGTCTCGTCGCAACGGCTCCCGCTCGGCCGCCTGAGGCGACGGCTCCGCCGTTCGCTCCGGTGGCGTCGCGGGCGCCGTGGGCCGAGCCGGCGCGGCCGGCGGCTCCGGCGGCGCGGACGGCTCCGGCGGCGCGGTCGGGAGCTTCTCGGCTTTCTCGATGTAGGCCTCGGCCTTGGCACGCACCTGGCGGGTTTGGTGGAAAGAGCGGAGGCGGGTGAAGAGAAGATGTGGCCTGGCCTTAGGTGGTTGTTGAATGTTTTGATGGTTTTTGGGGTCGAAGTTCCTGATGGCGCCGGAAATTTCTGGAAGTGTGGGAGGGGGCTCGAAGGGATGTGCAGGATTTCGTCCCCCATTCTGATTGGGTTCACGTTGGTGGCTTGAATGCACGCAAGCTTGAAATGGTTGAAGTGGCAAGTTCGTGTCTATAACCCAGAAATCATTGACCAATAACCCCAGGTGCCTGCATTAGTGAAGGGGCCCCCAGTCGCCACTGGAAACGCTGACTCCACCCACCTCCTTGGTCTTCTGATGGTCTTTGCCATAGAACTTTTCCAGCTCCTGGATGCGATGCACATCGTCAACATTGCCAAAGAGCTGGATGCTTTAGGTATTTTAACGCAATTGTTCCAAGCAATTGAAATCCAGCATGCGAACATATGGTTCTACCAAACGCCTTAAGACCGACAGTGAGTGTGTGTGTGTGTGTGTTTGAACTTCTGAGACCAAGTTCATTATTTAGTAATGTTATATATATATAGATCTATATTATAGTTATGTTATCTGCGTTCGAGACATCTCCCGTGCGACCCCGCAAAAGTCGTATCCTTTCCCAGTGAAATGTCAGGCGAGGCTCCAAAAAACAACAAGCAATGTTGGTGTTGGTGTCGATATTTGCAAGTTCTGGGCTGTTCTTTTGTTACTTATGCTATTATGCAGGTGTCATATTTCTTGCCGCACATTTTGTGCATCTTCCTGCGTCGTGTCTTCCGGCGAGACGGACACAAATACACATCAATTTCTGGGTCATGGTAGTAAAGCTTCAAGAAACTGTACCATTCTCAACACGTTACACGTTTTCTCATGAAGCACATGTCCTTCATGAGCACCATGAGGATCCTGACGCCCTCGATGTAGCACTTTCTGCTTCCAGCCGGATCGCTGCCTTCGATCTCATCTCCACGCCGTAGGAGATCGTAACCTTTCTCCTCCGAGCCATGGGCAAAGGAGGTGGACGGGCAAACAAGCATGATTCATGTTGAAATGGTAAATCGATCAGGAAACTTATTGGATCCTATTGTACCCACGAAACAATTGGCCATTGACATCCCTGGCACCAAGAAGGAAGCGGCAAACATCAAAATAGGAGATGCTAGCCAACATGAGTGACGCTGCGAGAACAATACGCACCTGAATCCCAAGAAACATGAAACCGCTGCAAACGATTCTCACTTACTGGGGCGCTTTTTTTGTGTGTTTTAGTTTGGGGGGGTGGGAGGTGTCGGAGGTGTTGGTGCGGGTTACCATGCGCCCCGATTCCACGAACTCCTCCACCTGGCGGAGAACAACTCCGCCGGATTCCCTTTTGTCCCTCCCCTTCACCAATTCTCCGCCTTCTCTGCGTTGAAGTTCTTCCTTGCTTTCGGATGCCACAAGACCGACTGAAACCCGACCCACGCGAGACAAACCCGGAAACGAGGCAGGCCGCCTGATGGGACCCGTGGTGAGGTACAATCTGACACTCTGGACAAATCAGCAACATGGTACATCCTTCCTTGTTGCTTTCCCCTGGCTGGCTAGCAATTACTTATATTCAAAGTATCCGGGTCTATTCTCAATGTGCCTCTTGAGTGATAGTTGCTTTGCGTTGTGCTGGCCTTTGTCTATGCCACATGCAGCCTCTACTTGGGTTTCAATCAGTGAACAGTTACCTGTTGCAGTGCCTCTTTGACAAATGTTGTGTTCCCTTTCTTCCTCTGGAAGTGCTGGTTTCTATCGCAGACTGTCCAGTCCGCTCGTGTTTTTGTGTGACAGTGACTGTCCTATTTTCATTAGTGTTTTTGTATCCTATTTTCTTTGTATTGTTTTTGCATGTTTTGTTGTATTGTTTTTGTATGTTTTCCTTAACTGTTTTAGACTTTGCTTCTTAGGCAGCTCACACACATAGACCAAATCTGCTTGTTTAGATCGTATACCTGAAGGTTTCTTGAACTCCACATCAGGCAACAGTTGCAATCACTTCCTAAAGTTTGTTAATAACTTTAATTACCACCCCTGGAATCACAAGGCTCTGCAACTATGGTGGAAACTTGCAAGACCAAAAACACAAGCTGTACAAACACCGCCACACAATCATGTGTTGCCTCAGCATGGAAGCATGGCTCAGCCAATCCAAGTGTCTCCTTCTCACGTAGACTCTTCAAACTCTCCGCTTTAAGCACAAATGTCTCCAGCTGTTCTGAGACCCGTTGACTCTTGTCGGTCTCCTTGACCTTTTTCAAGATCTTGCAACCTTCCAGGATGGTATCGATAGCTTTGCTATATTCCTTCAGGGGAGGTCAAAGCAAACGCGAGCCCTCCTCAGCCCTGCTCTACTTGTCAAAGGTTCGGACAAAAACGTGACCATTTCTTCAGCAGGTTTGTCATACCTTGTGACACTTCAGTTTCTTGATTGCAAACGGAGGCCGTGTGTGGAAGCTTCAGCAACTGTTGTGCTCAAATGAAGCCACAAGTTCATGTGTGGGAGTTGCAGCCATCTTTTTGTCCTTTGCCCAGAAGAAAAAACATGTTGTTGGTGCACCATCGACGTCCCCGAGTTCTTCTCCCAGTCTTCTCTAAACTGACCATGTTGTGCCCATTGACATCCCAACCCTACTCCGCTCATTGACAGCCACATCTCAGAAACGCGCCCAGTTTCATCCATGTTGGTAAACCCACAAACTTTTGCATATTTTTTGGCTCAAATTTTGAGTATTTGGGTAAGCAACAAAATTAAAGCAAAGCGGAGCCTCCTGGACTGTTCAGAAGAAATGACAAGCGAAAGGTGACAAAACACGTCACCACAAATGTTGGAGCGTGTCAGAACGCATGCCATGCTTGATGGCAGCACAAATGCCAGAACAAATGAATACATGCCAGAAAGCAGTACAAATGACATTTCAGAACAAATGTCAACACTTGCCAGGCAAATGCCAGAACAAATGTCGAGAACTCGAGAACCGTAATTAAAACTCAAAAAACTTGTCAGACGAATGTCAGGAAAAATGCCCCAAGATTCCCCAATGCATTCTAGAGCACAAATCATAACAAACCTCTGGAACACTTCCAGGCGAATGTCAGGTCAAGCGTCGGAGCACTTGTCAAATGTGATGCCCATCTAAAGTCACAATACATGACAGAACGCATGTTCGAACAAATCTCGGAACATGTGTCAACGAATGACAGATTTGGTGGCAGAACACGTGTCAGATTACATGACAGGACATATGTTAGAACACACACCAGAACCGAAGTTGGACCATTGTTTAACAAAAGCAGAACACATGCCAGGCTTGATGCGAGAGAAGGTGTCAGAAGTACATGCCAGAAAGGTATGTCAGAACTCGTGTCAGACTTCAGGACAGGACGAATGTCACTACAAATGCCACAAAGGACTTCAGAACACATACCATAACATTTCCCAGTTTTTATGCTAGATGATGTGATTATGTGATGATGATGAAGATGATGAGGATGATGACAACGACGACGATGATGTAACAGGACACATGCCAGACTTGATGCCAGAACAAACGTCAGAACATTGTCAATGCACATGTCAGGTAGTGTTTGTCAGGATAGTCTGTCAATTTGCCCTGCCTTCTTCCAAATCGCCTCTTAGCGTGGGCAAACTAATTGCGGCTCTCGCGGATTGATACGAACGTAATCTCATCTGCAACATCCTGCAGTTCATCCCAGATCCCTGGCTGCCCATATTAACTAGCTGCTAGCTTGATGTGCTGACGAAATCAAAACAACATAAGTAACATAAGTATAAAGCAACACTTACCAGGGAACAAACCTTCAACCCTGGCGGCAGTCCTTCTGCTGTTCCAAGTTCTGTGCCTCTTTGAAGCACCTCTCCTGGGTGCCAACATCCGATTGCCCCACATAGAAGCTCGAAACCCAAAGGAAACACATTGTTTGAAATTAATTGTTACCCTCTGACCCCAACATGATTTTAAACATGTTACAGTATGATGTCAGTGCATCTTTCCGATGTTCAAGTGATCTGAGAGTCCCTTTCAAAACACATCACTTTATACATCGATGTCTCGTGGCCCAATGACGCATTCAGAACAAAACACAAAGAACAACCTGCCGTTTTTCTCCCATCCACTTTGGTGAGCCATCCATATATCCCAGACGCTCTATGTATGGCATATTTATATACATACATTCATTGACCCCTCAAACCACCCCAATGTAGGTGTGTATATATATATTATACTATAAATATTTTAATATATGGCGTACATGGAGTGTCTGGGTATCTTGGTGGGTTCGGTGCGTTTGGCTTCCCGCCGAGTTGCGGCGTCCGCCTTGGCGGAGATGCCACCGGGCCCACCGCCCTCGGCCCAGGCCCAGCCCTCCGGACGCTCTTCGGGCAGCTGCCAGGTGCCCGGAGGCAGGTCCTGCTGGTTTAAACATGGTGAATTCCATAGGTGTGAATCCCATGGGAAGAGTGTGTCTACTTTGTTCATTGTTTCTTGACTGGTGAGAAAGAATAGAACCTGGGAGCGCTTTTCTTGGATATACTTCGATCATGTTAGTAACATCCGTGGATGTCATGCACAGGGTTTCTCGAATTTGTTCCAACAGCAGGTTGCGGATGAATCACCACTCAACTTCACGATTATTTTAGATCAATTTAGATCAAGTATGATTCGATCCGATCAACTTCACAGTTCACCTGCGACACCCAACACTCCAGGCGTCTGTCTATCACAGATTGAGGTGCCTATCACCGACTTTGATCCGACATTGAGTCGATGTTGGAGGAAAATCTGAGTCTAAGGTACTGTAGATGGGAACTTTGGAAACTCTCAACCATCGCTGAACCCAAGTCCTTGGGCTTCTTGGTTTCTTGAGCCCTTTTGGCCTCCTCAGCCTTCTTCGCCTCCTCTGCCTGCTTGGCTTCCTCCGCCTTCTTGGCTTCCTCCGCCTTCTTGGCTTCCTCCGCCTTCTTGGCTTCCTCCGCCTTCTTGGCTTCCTCGGCCTTCTTGGCCTCCTCAGCCTTCTTGGCTTCCTTAGATTTGAAATGATTTGAATCCGGGGAACCAATGATACAAGTGTCAACAAATACATGGAACTCTTTACCATCCACCTCCTCTGCTCAGAAAGTTGCCATGCCGTGCGGGACGTGTAGACATAGAGTCGACCTGTCTTTTGCATCTGATTCACCAATCAATAACACCAAAAGTTCGATGTCGGCGGGGCTGAAAGGAGGACTGGGGTCTTACATGGTCTTACTGAAAGGAAGGCAACTCCTCTGAGACCTTTGTTTGCAGGAGTTTTTGGTCAACATGTTCAAGGATGTTCAAGGCCCATCTCAGGTCAGGGGGTCTCAGGCCCTGCTCGCCAGGATCCAATAGATCCGCATCCCAGCGTCCTGGCCCTCTTGGTAGGCCTTCTTGAGTACCTCTGCGAGGCGCTTCTGGATCCTCGGACCAGCCGCTTGCTGCTTCTCGGAAAGTGTCGAACTACGGAAGGTACGGCGTCCAGAACGGGCACCGGGTCAGGCGGGCGGGCTTCCGTTCACTTCTTCACGACCCACACGCAGATTCCGTCGAGTCCCGCTCTCGACCCTTTTCGTCCCGGAATCCAAACAAACACAGATTCCACCCGATGCGTCCTGATTTCTGGCCAAGTCAAAACCATCATCGCTTCCTTGGAAATCAAGGAGTTGTTGGAACCACCAAGGGTCATGCTGAAACCGAACTAAGATCAGCTCATGGAAGATCCATCCAACCAAAGCCCCCCCGCGCCACCCCAACTTCTCCGTGCCTGGCGCCAACATGCGCCAACTCCGCTCTTCTGATGGATTCTTTTCGCATCTTCCTTTTCATACAAGCTCTTACCACTTCACCATACTTCCACCATATTAACCTGCTTGGGCAGAACCCTCCCCTCCGGGCCCCTCCGATCCCATCGCCGAGACTCTCTGCCATCTCTTCTTCACCACACTCTGCCAGCCAGTGCAGCTGCTTCGCCTCACTAGGCCCATGCCGCTCGGAACACATCCGGAGGCTCTTCACCTGACTCGGGGGGTGAGAGAATTCGTGCGAACTTCGGGGCTGCGGCTGGTTTAGGCGCGAACCAGCGAGCTCAGAGAGGCTCAGAGTGGCTCACAAGGGTCAAAAGTGGAGGGGCTTGGTGATGACCGGGGTGGTGAAGAGCGGTGAAGAGCTCTGAAGAGGTGTCTTGAGGACATAAAGGGCCGCCAACAGGTCGGAACCCCTCTGAAGGTGTGAAGGGACACCTGACTGGAGATGAGGCTTGGAAGAACTTCCGCTTTCGGAAGCGGGACCCAAAGGAGGTGAACATCCCGATCGACGTCGGGGGAACCTGAAGGTAACGTGGGTGCATGTAGAACATCTGAGGAACATGAACATGAAACCTCTTCTAAAAAAGGGGAGGGATACTTGGGTCTTCAGTGAGATGGGCAAACAGAACACAACATCCACATGGGCTAAAAATGGCTAAAATGCATTCAAATAGCCTTTTCAGGACACACACTGGCACATCATGATGCGACATCCAAGAATCTCTCCTTCCAGTGACCTGGCCTTCAGCATCCTTTGGCCAAAAGGCCGTTTGAACTTACCCGGCTCGTGTAGATTCGTTTCAAAGCTTTACATGTCCATCCAAACACCCAATATACCGGCCATTAATCCCAAATCTAGAATCTTTGACCACTCGGAGCTTTTTTCAGTGCCTTGGTATCCTTTCTGATCTCTTCCAGCTTCGTGTCCATGGTCGTCAGCAAATCAAAACCGTAGACACCTGGACACCAGGACCCAGGCTCGGCTGCGATGACCAACAGACCAACTTCCCAATTCAGTGGCCCAACTTCTCGAAGCTCGTCTTTCTGAGGGGTCATGGTGTTCCCTACCGCTGATTCACTTGCCTGTTTGCAGCCAAAGGGGCTCTGTTCAGCCGCCAGAAGCCGTTCACTTTGGGACCAAGAAGCCACGAAGTCCATCTCTTCCTCGAAACAGTGGTGGACTGTCTTTCCTCACGTAGGGATGGGTCAAAATCTGGAGCCCCAGCACCATGTCGCTCGATCGCTTGACCTTTTAGGTAGGTAGGTCAACCTTCGCAACATGTGGATGAAACATGGTGATTTGAATGCAGTGCCGATACCAGCACCCAATTAGCTGCATCTTTGCCTATCACAGCCTTTGATCATGCATTGCGCGGATAATTCGGTCTCACTTTGAGATAGGTTCTATGTGTAGCAGTTCTGTTTTGGTATTTGCCAAAAAACTTCCCTTTTCCCACCGAAAGGTGAAGGGCGGTGGCTTGCGTCAAGACGCGCTGCGCTCCAGTCATGTCGGTAGGTCGACCAAATGGTTTTGACCTGTTTTGACCCACAGTCACATGAACAATGAGGACTACCAGAAACACCGGGCGTATGGACCAGGACCCACATCCAGATGTGTGGATCCCAAAGAAGTGTCGAGCCTGATTCAGCCCAAGGAGTCCATCGAAGCAATTGAATCGGATTGGTTCCTACTGTGTTTCTGCTGATCATATGGAACCATCGGTGTCCGTCCAAACCATCTGGTCTAAGCCCTGGAACAAGAGACCATGGAACCTGAAAGGCCCACCTGGTTTCTGCCGTCTTGTTCGCCCAGGTACGGCCACGTCGATGCACTTGGCGGCCTCCTGGCCAAGCCCCGACTGTCGGACCGGGTCTCGTTGGGTTGTTGGTTGGACCAAATAGGATCCATTTTGTCAAACAACTCGTAGATTGCCAAATGCCATTGGATTGCCAATTGGATTGTAATTAGTAATTATTGCCAAATCGTTTACAGTATCCAATCGGATTGCCAAACGCGATGATGAAGATTGTGCAAGGAAAGCAAGCCTTTGACTTTACAAAAGAAAGTCCTTGTGGGCTACAAACTTTCCCTAAGCAGCCATTCCCGCAGTTACAGGTAGAATATGGTAGAATGTTGCAACACCTCACCTCAAGATCTAATTGATCTCCCGATCTGTTCCAACTGATCGCTCACGCCTTGTGATCTGCAAAGCGCACGTAGCCGGCGCCACCTCGTGTGCGCTAGACCGCTAGACAGTGTGTCCCGGCTGATGTTGGACGGCGAAGTGCGTCTTCTCATTGGATCAGCGTCTGAGTGGCAGAACATCGCCGCAATATTTGGGGCTTCTGATCGAGACTCATGTTCGGTCCATCCCCCCACTTCGGTCACCTTGAACTAATGAATTCATCTGTGAAGCAGCTATGAAGACTGCCCTGTGGGCTCAAAAGGCTGTGGGTCAAAACAGGGACCCTGGTGAACCACCGATCGATCCTTGCGCAGACTTGTCCCGCGCCACCCTACTACGGCCCGGCATCCCTGAATCAGGGGTAATAAGAGGTGTTTGTATGAACAAATACCTATTGGGATCTACAAGGGGCGTCCAATAGAGATTCATAGGTCGTGTAGGGTAGTCCATTGGGCACCCCTTGGATGGTGGTGTCTTCAGATCCATAAGGGGAATCGCATCGGATCGGTTTGGTGAGGGAGGTTGGGTGCCTCAAAGGCCATGCCTCCTACCGTTCAGCGCGGATGACCGGGTCAGTTCAGCCCATTCTTCGACCCAGTCAGTTCAGGGCCATCGACCCCCATGAACCCGTTTCAGCAAGTCGATGATCGACCCCACGGAAGTCGGTGAGCGTGGTCAAGTCAGAGGCTCTTGAGGCAACACAACATGACAAAACCAGTATCGGTTTTAACTTATCATAATGATATTATGATACACTTATATATTACCTACTTATAGTTAATCAATAACCAAACACAACTAACATCAACTAACTGTTGATATACGTTCCATTGTCAATTTTTTATATTCCAATGGACAGGGACAAAGATACGCTGAACCCGAAACGTTCCTTTTATTGGGGGAGGGGTCGTATTCTGAGCACCTCCGTCCGTCGTGATTCACGGTATTTCAATAGGGAGACCCTCTGGCCCTGGCTGGGTAGACGGCTCTATTTCCCTTATTCCAGGTCGTTGCCTGGGAGGTCTCCCTCTATATATATATATATATACACACACACACCGGATATCACCGGATACACCTGTCATCACCTGTCCCTCCTTCCTCCGCTGTCTCCCGCCTTTGGACTCCTCGAGATGCTTCACATCCTGCAAGGAGCTAAAGTTCAAGTCCTCCAGCCAGCCGCGAGCCTCCTGCACGTCGGAGCCGTGTCATCCCCGTGTCGGAGCCGTGTCATCCCCGGGCCGGCCTCGGCCATGGGGATAGTGGCTAGGTGATAGGAGACAAAGCAAGGGCAACCATCATGTTGCCCTTCGGAAAAGGCGCAGAAATTGTCAATGATGACTTTTTGGTATATATTCAGTTGACCTATACAAGTCTCTCAGTATCATAAACGGCGATGACTGTGGAATTGGCATGGAACGATTCCTCAGGGCTTTGCTGTCAAAATGTCGGTTGCCACCAGCATCCAGGGGATCCATGTCTATCCATGTCTTTCTGCATTTTGTACATGCTCTTCCAATATCATTCATGTTGGCATATGTTGGCTGTGAGGCATCCCTTGTGATGGATGGATGTCATAGTCCCGGACTCCTCGCCTCTTGACTAATCTCGGAGGTCAAGTTCTTGATGAAGACCTGCGCACCGCAAACACGCTGGCCTAACAAGGTCTCACCTCCCAATTATATGGCTGTGGGTCAAAACTCAGAACCTACCAGGGAGTAGGTGTTAAGGGTTTTGACCCATCCCCATATCATTGAGAAATATTGAGAAGCCGGCCAATTTGCACAAGTACCGATCTTCCCGAGCAACAACAGGAGAACTTCAATCTACTGAGGAAGGCATTGTGCGATAAGGAGAATCATGGTACTTACGATGTTTTGACAGTTCCAGGTGCTGCTTGTTTCATTAAGTCTGGAGAAACACAACTCTTAGTGGCTTGGTGGCTGCCAGGGCCTAGGAGCCAAACTGGGAACATGCCTTTGAAGGAAACCAGTCCTCCACAGTCTTCCAAAGCCTCCAGTTCCGGTCCAGTTTGCCGCCCAACCTCCCTCCTCAACCACTTCACCACCACGCACCTCGACGCCCGTCGGGTCGTGCTTCAGGTCGATCTGCAGATCCAGTTCGTCAGCAAAGAGGGTCTTCGTGAGGCCTCGCTGGCGCCGGCGCGATTTCGATGTGTGGATCCCTGTTTGGTCCGAAACATGTGGCACTCCTCTGTATGAAAAAGCAGGCCTCCGTTGGTGGGATTCGGTGCACTGGTTGGGTCTGGACGCCAGAAGCCCCAACGATCCCCCCCCAAACATGAGGATGCACACGGCACACAGTCGATTTGGTCTCACTCTCTCGGGTGAAACCAAACAAATCTGTCAGACTTGGCCGCCTTGAAGCTCGCACTGCAGGCAGCAAACTTCCATCTCATCGCCATCCCCCACTTCTTGGCCGTTCAGTTGCTCCACCTCGGTCTTTCGCGCTCCGCTTTTGGACTAGACGAAGCTAGCGGAGACCCTCCGGTACAGGTGGATTGAGGGGCCAAGTGTCACCAACAGGTGACATTGAGACGTTGATGAGCTAGGAGGATCGATGAATTGTCGATGTCGCAGCGATGTCGATCTGTAATCCTGCAGCAGATTGCTGCAGCCTAGGTAGGTTTCCTCAACCGGTCGGCGCCATGCATCAATCAATGTTGTTTCATTGATGTCTATACAATTCTATACATCCTCACTGACGTATACCTTACCTTTGTTATCCTGTAATAGAGATGTCTACATATCATAAATTATGTTACGATGTTTCACGTGTCCTTGCCGATGGAACCCTCGCTTGTCTGACAGTTGCTTTGGGCATCTTATCTTTGAGACACGATCTGTCTCTCTCTCTCTCTGCATTTCCAACACCAGTCCTGAGTCTCCACGAGAAGGGGGCACCCAAACACTAAGGCGCAAGGCCCAACACTCAGGCAGATCAACCCGTGGTTGGGCAGACTGTCTGATCCTCCCAACAAGAACCAGCAAGGAATCAATGAATAACCCATGGCTGTGGGTTTGACCTCCGATGCATGTCTCCCGACCCGTCAAGCGCAGAATCCGGGGGACCAGGTTGATCATGCCGGGCAGTGGGGAAGGAAACTGACTCCGGTGGTCCAAAGCAGTACTGCTGCCAAGAAGAGGCACATGTAAAATACTCTCCAACTCACAATTTCACAAACGTAATTAGATGAACACACAATTCATTCGGCGGTTCCCATTCGAGTTCACCTTTCACATGCCTTCACACCATGCCCCAGCAGCAAAGAACATCGTTCCCCCAACTGAGGCACTGCTCTCAGCTTTTCTTCACCAAGGCACTGCTCTCTGCATGTTCTGGGCCTTCTTCAGTTGCACCCGCGCCTCGCGGCGCCCGGACGTCTCGTCCTCGGAGAGCTGGATCCGCGCGGCGCCGCCGTAGAGGGCGAAGGCCGACTTCATCTGCGCTTCGGTCCAGCTGGGTGCAAAGCCACGGACCTCACAGGCACTGTACGCGCGCGGTACACGGCGGAGTGGCATGACATAACAGTTGTGGGGATATTGGAATACATGACGAGTCTGGAGGGACACACATTATTCTGAGGCTGGCAAATATCAACAACTGCATCACCTGTGAAAACTCGAGAGCCTAACAGTCTCAGTCGAGGGTACTCCACCTTTGTTTCTTTGCCAGGTGGTGAATCTTGTTGTTGGGTTTGCTAGGCTCGGTCATCAACAAGTGGGGGCTTTGCCTCATTGAAGTGAAGTGGTGGGTGGCAGTTAAGGACACCGTGCTGAGGGAAATTGTCCTTTTTGGGGCAAGCTACTACCACTAGTGACTAATTCTGAGTGAAATTCTCATTGTAGATCTGAATCAAAGCAATATAGGTTTTCTCAACAGCAAAGCAAATAGCATCCCAAGCAAACATTCCTCAGCTGACTTTGAGACGCCCGGAATATAACAAGCAAGGCACCAGGATGCAGGGCGAGAGCGGCTTCTCCTTTGGAGGAGGAGGAGGCGATGAAGCGGCCGAAGAGGCTGGCACTGGCGCTTCCGGTGGTTCCTGCCAAGTTTCCTGCCAAGTCACTGGGTGAAGGATTGCAGAGTGGAACCCACCTCATAACCAACTATTGGTTTAACATGCGTCTAAAACCATTTGGCCTCGAAATGCTCGGTCCAAAATCCACTTCAAGATCTAAAAAACGCAAAGTCTGCAGAGAATATATTGATGCGACGGACGGACAGGCCGTAGGAAGGAAGGAAGGAAGGAAGGAAAAAAGGAGGGAAAGGCCAACAGCAGCCAGGAATCATTGACCCTCCGCCAAGCATGATACAGTATCCCAACTTAATCTTTGATCCTGCGACTCCTGCGACCCTTCCAGAAGCCTGTGGGTCTCTGCAATCAGGGCCAGGTGTAATGGGAGGATAGGAGTGCCCTAAATCATTCACAGTGTCAAGTGTTATAAGCCTGATTAATTAAAATCCCAAAAAGCAACTCTTGGACGCAAACCCCAATCCCAATGCGCAGCCCTCTTGGTTGAATTCTAAGTACAATTCTATTATATTCTATCTATTTGCCCGTGTTTTCCTTCACTGTCCTGTTCTTTAAAAAGAAATGTGGGCCTAAAGCGACCAAAAAACCTCCCCTCAAGGCATCCTGGCACGAGAACGAATGATCCCCATGGCATCACTGGGTCCGACCCCCGAACCACATGGGTCCGTTTTCAAGACGCCCAAGCGTCGACCGCACACGCGTGAACCTTCACCCCCGCCTCGTTGATTTGCAAAGGGAAGTCCGAAGGGGAGGGTGTGGTTTCCAGCTCTCCGGTCTGCTCACCACTCCATTTCAAAGACTCACCCTTCTGGGTCGTGACCCTGTAGCGCGTGTGGTCCTTGTGCTGCATCACCTGACGGCCGTCGTCTCTCGGCTCGGCGACGGGCCGACGACCTTCGGCGGCGAAGCAGTTTCTCAGGTGAACCAAAAACCATGGTGGCTGTGAGCCAACGGGGGGTGGCTACGTCCCATCCAAAACACGAGCTTTAAATAATTAGGCACCCAAAACCTCGAAAAAACAGATCAGGATGCACCAACAAACCTATATAGGTCCTTGCCATTAGCGCCGCCAATATCTTACAAATCTACTGTATTAAGACTTCTTCTAGAGACATCACAAAGCTTCCTCGAGACCTTGCTGGATCTCTTGCTGGATCTTGGCAGCGTGGGGCCATGGTATGCGGTGGGTTCCCTGTCCCTGCGTCGAAACAAGAAAAACACACGGGTCACGCCGGTGGGTTCCAATTCTTCCATTCTGCTGCAGTGACGGTGTAAAGCTGGTAAGGCCAGTCATCCTCATCAATGAAGATTGGCTGGGACTTCGCCTGGGGCTTGGCCTCGGCCAATGCGACGGCGCCGACGGCTTGGAGCCGTTCTCGGCTGCACCGAGGGTGCCACCCTCCTCGCACTCCTTCCGGTTCGATGGCTCGTTTGGTGCTGATGAACAATCTTTTCGAGTGGTCATGAATCACAGAATGCATGATGATCAACATGATCATCATGCACCATCACCATGAACCAACCCTTTAACATCCTTTAACGGTGATGACTTCTCCTGACAGCAAAGACCTCGATTCCGAGGTCTTAAGCAAAACCACGAACGGTCGGGTGTCCAGGTATGTCCAGGTGCCCCAGTACTCCGGTCCGAGACAAACACACACCGCATCACACCGCCATTCCATGGGAGCAACTATTATGTAACATATCGTAACATGACATGCCGTCATGCCGTGCCCAAATCCATGCCGGCCAATCCCTTAAAACTTTGGAACAAAAACACGCGTACTAGAACTATACACTCCCTGGAACAATCATTCAAGTGGAAAACCCCCTGTTGGTCTTTCCAGGATCATATGCCATCCACTTCCATGATTGTTTCAGGTGCATAATATAGAATTAGACTACGTGAAAAAGGCAAAGGACAGTCCATTAAGAAAAAACAAGCCCTGAAGTCCCAGATGCTTGTAGCCTGGGATCCTTTCCTGGAGGCTGTGTCGGCACAACGTCAGGCTTGGCCGCTGGTGTTGCATAGCGTGGTACCTGACCTGCCTGAGACGCCGGATGAAGCCCCACGTGTGACAGGAATGGATCGATCATCGAATGAAGATGACTCCGGTCGATCCAGACGGTCCACATCAATCCATCGTCCACTGTATTAATTCGATTTATATAATTAGTCCATTTTGGTCACCAGTCGTTCTGAAGACTCAAACTAAAAGACTCTTATAGCTAGAAACCCTGGTTTTTGAAAATTCCGGGACTTGCCCACAGAAAAATCACATGCAAAAACGGATGCAAGTACGTCTAAGCACATCTTCATGTTCCTTTTTCGAGTCTCAGGAACCCTGAATTCTGTCTTGACAAGACCACGACCACTGTTCACTCAACTGGAGATGCTAGTAGCCGCGGAAAAGCGCCTACTCGTCCACTTGGTGGATTTGAGGGGCCGATCATGCGGCGGCCCCACTTCAGTGGGACCGTGTTGAACCATGACGATTATTTGGTGATGCAGCTGGAAAAAAAGAGGTTCACCTTTTTCCAACTGTTCTTGTTTAGTGGGGAAACCAATCTAGGTTTTGTAGGTTATCCACTTTTCCTGCGTGGGTTCCTCCAAAGAGTGGGAATTCCAAAAGCAATCTCCTAGAATGCAGATCGTCAAGAAATAAATGACACCACCCCGTATGAAAAGACTTCACATTTATTACACATATGTTCTCAAAATTAATCAAGAGTCCAGATGAATCTCCTGTTTCCGTGATGGATTTAAAGTCAATTCTATCGTTATATAGCACCACTACCACCCGATCTCCCCGTCAGGCCTCTCCAGACCCAGCCGTCCACCGATCAGAACTCTCCCAAGGTGCGCGGCTCGGGGCAGCTTGAGGCTTGAGTGGCTTGAGGTTGGAGTTCGGCTTGGGCTTGGACTTGGGTGCCAAAGGAGCTTTCAGTGAAGCCTAGGCTTGTCTGCACACGACTCTCCGGTCTACACACGTCACAGGAGTGGAGGACGGAAGAGACGTTCTTTCCGGCGCTAGAAGAGGAGGAAAGGCCCCCGCCGACTCCTTTGGGCTTTTGGAACCCCCGGAAAAGCGATCGAAGGCGGAGGCCAGAAGAGTCAGGCGCCACTGCTGGAAGGAGTGATCGAAGCACGTGTTTGGCATGTATGTCTGGTCCGAAACAGGTGCGATGCTGGGAACTTGCACATCAGAACTGCTGGTTAGAATCCGACTCCTTCTGTCTTTTTTTTAACAGCCAACCTAGCAAGCAAACTTCCCCGCCATTTGGTTTAATATGGTTCAATGCCGAAGCTCTACCGAAGCAGTTTTCAGTTCCGTTCCACTCCCACCAGCCTCGAGGACTTCCTTCAAACCTCGCATGGAAGATCCCGGGGGGGCAGCGCTGAACACGATCGGATCACCGGAAAAACACTTTTTTTGGCTTTTTCACTCGGAACATGATCGGTGCTTCACCATCATCATTGAAAGGAATTGAACGGTGGCTTTCACGTGCTTTCACCATCAGAACAGCATCCATCCTTTTGATCATTTGAGATCGATCTGTTGGCCCAGTACTCGGCTTCCACGGTTCAGCCCAGGCGCGTCCGTGTAACTCTTCCGTCGGCACACGGCCTCGGACGAAGATGTGGAGCCTCGGTTGCGGGCGACTTCGGTGTCCCATGGTGAGCCTATACCGGCGACTGGGAGAGTGTGGAGCAAGGCGCGCACACAGATGGTTCATGGTCAGCCATGTTGAACCCGAAAGAGCTCTGATGGCCCCACTTCTTTTCATCAGTGCACCATCCACAGTAACCAGAATTAGATAGAATTATATAGAATTATATAGTATGTTTTTAACAAATAGCCAAATCATGCGACCCGTGAAAATCTGTCCAAACATGTGAAAACCATTGAAAACCCATGAACATCTCCCCCTGTTCTTTCTTTACCAATTCATATATTACCTCGTAAATCCATGTCTTCTCCCTTCTCTCCCAGACCTCCGGTGACCTCCGGTGACCTCCGGTGACCTCCGGTGACCTCCGGTAACCCCTGTGGTCTGTTCAGCGGCGCGGGGTAGACGGTGACCGGCAACTCGGACGCCTCGGCGCCGGTGGCCTCGCCGCCCAGGACGAGCCTGAGAGGTCGGGAGACTCGGACCCAAAGAGGTGTTCAATATGGTTCAGATGGTTTTCAGGTGATGGTTCCTTCATGTTCCTTCAATGTGTCCAGTTGGAAGTGTCTTCAACTTGGCGACCTGTTGGAGGGTTGGTTCCAAGAAGTGGTTGGAAGTTTGCACGCATAGTGCCACTTCTAGCCCTTCGAAGGAGTCAGTGCCCTGAACACATGGTTGATTCGACCAGTCACATCGCTTGTGAAAGGGAAAGGCTTCAACCAGGAGGATCGATGTCATATCCATCTCGTTCAAAAAGCCTATGTTTGAAAGCCAGCAAAGCCGTTTGATCCAAGGAGCTGCTCGCAATTGAGCTCGGTTTGCAACCGCTTCAGGCGTGCGGTCAGGGAAGCGATGACATTGCCCTTAAAGACTCCTTTGGGCTGAACGACTGCGAGTCCAAACAAAGGCTCAACCGATAACCTGGGAGTTGGTAAGGAGAACATAGAGGGATTAAGGAACCCCTCCTGAGCCAACCAACGCAAAGGCTCCTAGTTGCCACTGTGTTTATTTGAATAGGTTTGACTCCAATTTCCTTCACACCCAAACTTTTGGATGCTTGATGCTTCCCTCCCTTCAGCACGCTCCTGGAGCGGATTCAGGGAACCTATCGCCCCTGCATCAACTCCACTGCCCCAATCAGCAGTGACAACGACTTCCTGGGCACCGAATTCTCTCTGTTGGTTGTGGTGCACTTGGCGAATATGGGGATGGGTCAAGCCTGAAGCCTCAACACCATTGCAGATTGACCTCAAGTCGTTGAAATGGCCTGACCCGATCACCCTGACCTTTCTGCTACGGCAAAAGGTCTCACATGGCATGAACTTGTAGCTGCATTTATTGTTAATACGGGTATTCAATGGTATTCAGTTCCCTGTATGGATTCAGCTTACAGAAGGCAAGCGCGCACATCCACATCATTGGCTTGATCCAAAAGTTCTAGCCCTGCCTAAGAAACGTAGATCACTAAGAGAAGAAGCTGACGCATCATCATCCAATATCTTCAGGGCTTCACAGATTCGCCTTTGGTCCCCAAATATCATAAAACCGGTTCCAACAGCCTGGTTAAAGTTGGATGGGGAAGAACGTACACAGGTGGCTTCGCGCTTCGACCAGAAGTACCCAACTGGCCAGCCACCCATAAGACGTTGTTAAAATATACAGAAGACCTTGGATGTAAACCATCCTACCATCCGGATGGGGTAGTTTCCAGGCATGGATTTTGTTCAGCCATGTGTCCATCCCCCCCGATCCAAGGGAAACCTTATATTACCGTACCTATGAAATCCTATGAAGAGTTATTTGTAAGATTGTAAGGCGTATCTCAACATCAGGATCAAAATTCAGTGCCAATCCCTTCAGTCCCAAATGAGGTGCATTCTGCTGCATTCTACAATTCGCTGCCGTCTTGACATTGCCACATCGTCATGCCTTCGTGCTGCGCGCATATTCGGTTTCACGTAGATAGTTTGATGAGGTGTGTAGTGTTGTGTACAGAGGACATCGTTCAGACATGCGCCAAGTTCTGCCCGTAGGTCAACCAAGGTGTCCTGGTTTTGACCCACAGCCATATTCCCTCCCCAAAGCAGTATCATGCAGCATGCTTCTCCCGCGGGACGCGGTTCGCGCTGCTCCTTGGGCTTCGCGAGCCATTTGCTCCGACAAGGACCAACTGCCCGTCAGCTTGAACTCCGACTCATCGTTGCTGGTGCGCCTCGGTTCGGCGAAGAGGAGAGTCTCGGGAGGGAGTCTCGGAACGTGTGCGTCGCCCGTCGCGCGGTACGGAACGTGCGATCATTCTTCGATGGTGGTAGAGTGGCACTATGTGGCACTGCTGATGGAGCTTCTGCACCATGATATATGAGCGACCTGCAATATTTTACGTATTGAAGTGCGCGCTCTTCCCAACGTTATCGTTTTTCCTGTGAACCTTATCGTTCCTGCGGGTTTGGACACACCTAACAACATGTACTAAAACCTTATCTTTTTCTTCTGTGAACCTTATCGTTCCTGAAGGTTTCCTTCACTTTACTTGCTTTGTCTTCACTGTAGTGATGCTGCCTTCATCGGAGGTTTTGGCAGTTGCTCATATAGTGCATGTTGCCCTCAGAAACGCAAAGACCAGCTGTCGACTTGGTGGCAGGGGAAAGGAAAGCGGCAAAAGACCAGGGCAAAAAAACACGGCAGAGTTGTATATAGGATGCGAAGATGTGATTGGGTTCAAGGTCAAGGACACTACTTGCACAAAGTAGGATGCCATGTCAGCGAACAAAAAATACCAGCAACTCTTGAACAGCTCTTTAACCACTGGCTCGCCTGCACATGGGAACACAACATGGTCGAACATCAAATAATATAACGCTTTCCTGTATTTCTGTTCCTTCCCTTGCGGGGTCCCCCGTTTGGCTTGCTTACTGGCGATACAAGAAACTCGTGGTATCCACGCTGCACCCATTTTTGAACATATGGCAGTGGGTCAAAACCGGGACCCCTTAATCCCTGGTAGGTTGACCTCCCTTGTAGTCTATTCTGTTCCATATGTAGTTGTGTGTGAAGAATTGAGGCTTGAGATGGCTTGAGTATGTCTTGGACAGCAGGAGCTGAGGGATGGAGCCAGCGATGTCTCAAAACGTTTCGGTCAAAAAACTGAGGGATGAAAAGTGCATGCATCCACGCTGGTCCATGCTGTTCTCATCTTTAGAGAGATGCAAGCAGCAAATGTTCAAATTCTATTTTTCAGTCTCTGAAATGACAGAAGGAACCCCCTGGTCACAGCTAGACAACAAAAACCTGTTGCTTTCTCCCTGGCCGAAGCGCAAGGTCTGGAGCAGCGAGGCAGCCTCCTCCTGCGGAGCGAGGCGCCTCCCAAAAGCTAAATCCACCCGCCAAGGATCTCCCAAAAGCATCCCACCTAATAGCGATTGCCTCCAACCTAATAGCGATGGCCTCCAAACTCATAGCGATGGTTGCCAACCTAATATAGCCT